AAGAAATAAAAGACACCCAAATTGGAAAAGGAAGAAGTCAAATAATTCTTGCTCGCAGATGATATGATCTTATATTTGGAAAAGCCTAAAGACTTCACCAAAAAACTATTAGAACTGAAAATTCAGTAAATTTGTAGGATATAAAATCAACGTACAAAAATCATAGCACTTCTATATGCTAACAGTAAACAATCTGAAAAAGAAAGCAAGTAATCCCATTTACAGTAGTTACAAATAAAATTAAGTATCTCAGAATTAACCAAAGAAGTAAAATATCTATACAATGCAAACTATAAAATATTGATGAATTACATTAAAGAGGACACAAAAATGTTCAAAGATATTTCACGTTCATGGATGGGAAGAATCAATATTGTTAAAATGTCAATACCAAAGCAATCTACAGATTCGATGCAGTCCCTAACAAAATACCAATGACATTCTTCATAGAAAAAAAAAATCCTAAAATTTATACAGAACCATAAAGATCCAAAATAGTCAAAGCTATCTCGAGAAAAAGGAACAAAACTGGAGAATTCACATTACCAGACTTTAAATTACACTACAGAGCTATAGTAACCAAAATGGCATGGTACTGGCATAAAAACAGATACACAGACCAGTGGAACAGAGTACAGAACCCAGAATACATACATCCATACATCCACAGTGAACTCATTTTCAACAAAGGTGCCAATAATATGTACTGGACAGTCTCTTCAATAAATGGTGCTGAGAAAACTGGATATCCATATGCAGAAGAATGAAACTAGACTCCTATCTCTTCTCACATAAAAAATCAAATCAAAATGGATTAAAGACTTAAATCTAAGACCTCAAGCTATTAAACTGCAAAAAGAAAACACTGGAGAAACTCTCCAGAACATTGGACTGGGCAAAGACTTCTTGAGTGAAGAAGACAGACAAATGGCAAAGAGGCTTACAGAAAAGTGCTCAACGTCATTGATCATCAGAGAAATGCAAGTCAAAACTGCAATGAGGTATCATCTCACCCTGGTTAAAATGGCTCTTATCTAAAAGATAGGCAATAACGAATGTTGGTGAGGATATTGAGAAAAGGGAACCCTCATACACTGTTAGTGAGAATGTAAATTAGTATAATCAGTATAACAGTTTGGAAGTTCCTCAAAAAAACTAAAAATAGCTACCATACCAGCAATCCGACTCCTATGTATATATCCAAAAGAAAGGAAAACAGTATATCAAAGAGATATCTGCACTCCCATGTTTTTCGCAGCACTAATCACAATAGCCAAGATTTGGAAACAACCTACATGTCCATCAACAGACAAGTGGATAAAGAAAATGTGGCAGATATACACAATGGAGTGCTATTCAGCCATTTAAAAAATAAATAAAAGAATGTGATCCTGTCATTTGCAACAACATGAATGGAATTGGAGGTCATTATGTTAAGTGAAGTAGTCAGGCATAGAAAGACAAACTTCATATGTTCTCACTTATCTGTGAGAACTAAAAAACTAAAACAACTGAACTCATGGAGATAGAGAGTAGAAGGATGATTACCAGGGGCTGGGAAGGGTAGTAAGTGGGGAGAAGTGGCAATGGTTAATGGGTAAAAAAAGATAGTTACAAAGAATGAATAAGATCTACTATTTCCTAGCACAACAGTCAAACATTTTTTTAAGTCATTTATGCATTTGATACCAAGAAAATTTTAATTGGTTGTCCCTAAGCTCCATACGGATGGCAGGTTTCTATGCTAACAACAAAGCTACTGCTTGTAAAGTGGTAAAAGTTCAATCTCGAGTGGGGATTGGGGACTGGACCTCTAAAAGGGGCCCAGGTCTTTGGCCCCCTCTCTCTCAGGGGCTGGCGATAATGCAGACCTGTGCCGTCATCCTCAAAGAAACTACTGTATGAATGTCTGAGATGCTGAGATGTTTCTCTTAATGCAATGATAGGCACTTGCTACAGACAACAGGAGCAATGTGCTCTCTTACCAGAGAAACTGTTAGTTGTCACAAAGATATAAATATTTCCTCAGCAAATAGGTATATGCTATAAATACACATGCAATATGGAGCATTTGCTTTGGGCAAAGACACATAATACTACAGCAAAAACAACCAAAAAAAACACTTTTAAACACAAGCATGAACCAGGATTAATAATCCACTTGCAAGTACAACACAAAGCAAAGAATCTTTCTAGAAGTCTTAGGAAAAGTTTGATATTCTTAAGGTTATGGTTTGTTTCAATAACAAACTTCAAAACCCTAAATAGTGCAAAAAGTACTAACATCCTAATGGTAACCAGATTTTTTTTATTATCCCAAGTAAGAGAAGTTGGTTGAAATATCCTTAAAAATGCTGTGATTTTTAAAAGAGCAAATTGCAATTTTCCTAAATATCAAGAGGGCAAGAAATGAGAAACAGCCATGTGGTTTCACAAACTCTCTATTTAGAGGCTAGCAGAAAAGAGAAATCTGTACCAGATACTGAGGGAAGGATTAAGGTTGTTCCCTCAGTCAGGGCTACTAAGGAAGTAATATAAGTAACAACAGGCTAGAAAAGATGCAAAAAGAATAAGGAAAGAAACATGCATACAGTGGGCTTGTAATGTACTCAGTGATATTTACTTGTAAGAAAGAGGGAGGGGCCAGGTACGATGGCTCACATCTGTAATCCCAGTGCTTTGGCAGGCCAAAGCAGGAGGATCGCTTGAGGCCAGGAGTTCAAGACTAGCCCTGGCAACACAGCAAGACCCTGTCTCTATTAAAAAACAACAACAACAAAAAATTTCTGGGTGTGGTGGTGCACACTTTAGTCCCAGCTACTCAGGAGGCTGAGGCAGGAAGATCGCCTGAGTCCAGGAGGTCAAGGCTGCAGTGAGCTATGGTCACACCACTGTACTCTAGCCTGGGTGAAAAAGTGAGACCTTGTCTCAAAAGGAGTGTGGAGGGAGAATTATAATAGACGGTGAATCAAGAGGAGGTATAGCATCAGAGTTTCCCAAAACTCTGAGTTGGATGCTAACAAAATGAACTATTAGCATCCAACCCAGGCATCAATTCTGCTGTCACTTCCATCCATCAGTATTTCCTTGTCCTTGTATTTGTACCAACCACTAATGAGAGATCAATGTGTCTTATCCCTTCACTTGGAGCCCAGAGGAAAAGAGGCTGCTGAGATCTGCCAAGCCTATCACCAGAGCTGGGTTTCCACGAAGTAGTTTTAAGCTAACAATAGGCTTTAAAGTGTTCCTTTGCCTGACTTTATCCTGTGAATCTCTCTCTTCCTTGCTGATCTTGTTAATGAAGGATTTCGCTACTTAGAGTCCTGGTTATTTGCCACTCTTCTCACTGAAAATACATGACTCATAGTACTGATGTGATTATGATAATGCACATTTACTTTAAGAAGAATGTCACAGTATTCAACTATTTTAAAAGAAAAGAAAGTAGAAAAATCGCAAGAATGAAATGTCAAGGAATAGCATCCAAAAGGAACTGGCTGAGCTCTTAACATGGAATCCACTAGTTATCTAAACATGTCCCCAAAGAAAAGGAACCTGGGTACCCTGAAGTGAGTGATACCTGGCAGGGCTCATAGCAGTACCTGACACAGGAAGTAGGAACCTCTTCAGTCAAGAAGAATTTCAGAATTGGAAAGTCATTCTGAATGAGGAGTACTTGGCACCACAAAGACCACATGCTTTCCAAAAATGCTTTCTTTCACAGATCACTACCTCATCAGCAATGGAGAAAAGCAGTCATCCTTCTGCAGTCATGTCCTGAAAACACATTCTGCTTTCTTTATGCTGTGGGGACATATGCTCAGCAGTCCCTAAACAAGTTGTCTGCTGAACATCCTCCTTTAGTAATCTTCTGGCATTCCTCCTAGCCTTTTGTGGGAACTGTGCCAGAAACTTCTTGATAACAAAGCTCATTATCTAGTCAGCCTGGCCAGGTCAGAGTTGGTCGGTTTCCATTAATAGTATACATAAAATTCAATTTGGCTAGAAAATATACTCCTTCTATGTAGAATCTCTTCAAAATCTCTACCTTGAAATATTCAAATTGTACATAATACTTTCCTTAAGTCTCCTAGCTTGTGGCCGGGTAGGGTCCGTGGTCACAGCTCTCGTGTTTACAACTGCTTTTTCTCTGCATCCTGAGGACCCATGGCTTAGATTTCAATCAGAGTAAACAAGACTGGCTTTTTAAAAGGCTTAGAATCAAAATACTTTCTAAGGTTATCTATTTATAAAATTTTGAGTGATCCATGCCCACTAGAAGTGACAAAAATACCTTTTTTTTTTTTTTTTTTTGAGACGGAGTCTTGCTCTGTTGCCCAGGCTGGAGTGCAGTGGTGCGATCTCGGCTCACTACAAGCTCCGCCTCTCTGGTTCATGCCATTCTCCTGCCTCAGCCTCCCAAGTAGGTGGGACTACAGGCGCCCACCACCACACCCGGTAATTTTTTTGTATTTTTAGTAGAGATGGGGTTTCACCGTGTTAGCCAGGATGGTCTCGATCTCCTGACCTCATGATCCGCCCGCCTCAGCCTCCCAAAGTGCTGGGATTACAGGCGTGAGCCACCGCACCTGGCCGACAAAAATACTTTTAAAAGATATTTAAAGTAAAATTGAGAGTAAAATAAAGTGATTTTTCATAAGAATTTTACATACCAGTTTAATTGTGTTCACATCAGCCACAGGATTGGGCCTTTCGCAAGAGATGTCAACGTTACCCAGCAACACAGCTCAAGCCTATTAGGAATGTGGTAACTGCAACTACTGCCCACACAAACCGTTGGTAGCACTTTCATCTCCTCTTTCATAACCAGTAGCTAAATCTGTCAAAGATTCCCCCTTTTCTAAAAGCTGCCACAGGTCAAAAATTAGGACTATATCAATTGCATTGTGTTATCTACTCTGTAACCGAGAGGGAATTCCAATACTTAATCAGTGTATTTAAAAAAAAAAAAAAAAGTCAGACAATAGTCTAGTACTCACCTTTTTCAGAAACACAAACTGAGAGTTTCTTAACATCATCAACCAGCACATTTTGTGTGATGCCATGTCCATCTTCTGAGTCACTGCCATCAAACTGAGCCTCTATAATGACATCAGGACTGTCATTATAGCTTTTCAGGGACTGTTGCGGGAGATGGCGTCCACAGAGCTCCTCGGGGATATCTGATTCATATGCAGCTTCTGTTTCTTTGTCATTGTTCTCTGGTTTAACTACCTGAAGAAAATTTAAAAATTCTGCTAAATCACTGGGAGAAGAAAAAAAAGAGCAGATTTTTCTTTTCTAAGGAAGAAACTGCATATACAGAAGCTAATGATATTGGACACTAATCATGTAGTTCGAAAAAGGATCTTTACTTTCCAGAAGCACAGATCACCTAAAGCACATAATCAATCCAGCAAAGCCAGGTTGACAATCAGTTCTTCAGGATGCCCCAAATTAAGGCCTTATCCACTTCTCATATTTCTGATCTACATTTTCATCATCTCTCCCCAAAGGCCCTGAATACTAGAAGTAGTACCATGCTGCTTCATAAAGGCTCACCATATAGGAACAATTAGTAAGTTAGGGAATGATAAAAAAACTCAACAAAGTATGCCACAGTGTTCCCAAAGGAAACCACAAAAATACAAGATGAAGTGGAAAAAAGCAAAATTAAGTGTGAACAAGAGTTTATAAAATGTTCTTATAAAAACGTAAAGCTTTACTTGGGAGGCTAAGGTGGGAGGATCACTTGAGCCTGAGAGGCACAGGTTGCAGTGAGTCAAGATTGCGCCCACTGCCCAGGCAACAAAGCAAGACCCTGTCTCCAAAAATAAAGCTTTAATTCCCCATTTTGTGGCCTGAAATCAATATATAAAGCACACACACTGATGGACATTTACACTACAATACTAATGAAGCAAGTAGAAGAAAAAAACCCAGGCCAGGCACAGTGACTTACACCTGTAATCTCAGAACTATGGGAGGCCAAGGCAGGAGGACTTTAAGACCAGCCCGGACAACATATTGAGACCCTGTCTCTACAAAAAATTTGAAAATCAACAAGGCATAGTGGAGGAAGGGGTGGGGGAGGGGCGGGGGGCGGCGCCTGTAGTCCTAGCTACTTGGGAGGCTGAAGTGGGAAGATTACTTGAGCCTAGGAGTTACAGTAAGCTATGATCACACCAAAGCACTCCAGCCTGGACGACAAAGGGATATTCTAGCTCTAAAAAAAATAAAAAATAAAATAGAAAACCAATCCAGATACTAATCCATTTTATGAGTTTGTTACATACAGCACTCTGATGTCTATGGGCACTATATTAAAATACACCAGGTGTTATTGAGTCACTGAAAAAAACTGTGACCCTACAGGTAAATCTGCCCATCCACATTAGCAAAAAAGCAGCAGATTTTGTAGGTTCTGGATGTTACTTGAATACCACATCCTTTTTAAGAATCTATTTCTAGATGAGAAATATCTATGTTCAATTTAAACATATAATTAAAACTTAAATGTCCACATGTACATATATACAAATAAAAAAACGAATTTGATCACTACTTGTAAACATTCCTTTTATTCTTTCAAACAAATGTTGGAATGCCCATCTCGTGCCAGGCACCATCATGAGTCCTACATCCTAGCGGGGTGACAAATGATGAACAATTTACTCATTCAACAAGTCATTATGGAGTCCCTTTCACGGTGCCAGAAACTGTTCTAGGTGTCAAGGGCAGAACAGTGAACACAATCAAAAGTCGACTAGTGAGAAGCGCAATTAAATATATTGAAAGAATGAGAAAGCTGGTTAAGTAAATGAGAGAATAATGGAGAGGGTGTGGCTAGTTTATCAGTAGGGTGATTAGGAAATACTGCTTAGAGGAAGCAACATTTGAGCAGAGACCTGAATGAAGTGAAAGAGCTCTAGCGGTTTCACCATGTTTATATTTGATAGGTCTAATGTTCTAATTAAAAGTAACACAAAGATCATGCTTAGTAAAAGATCTTCACCTTATACAAGGCAGAACAAGTTATTAAATCTTTCCTAAAACATTTTAATCCAGTAGGTTCAATTAACATAACCATCCCTAGACAATTAATATTATAATATCGACTCAGAAAACCAAAGTAAAATATTACAAAGATATTAACGATTAAAGGTAAGAATATATCCTCAGTTTGTAAAAATTGACTCCATAAAAATATAGTAATAGAAAAACTTGTAAACAACGCTTTATTTTTTGAGCAAAATTGCACTCAAAACTTTTGAGCAAAAGTTTAATGAACTTTTTTAAAAACTTGTTTCCCAATCCCTGAGTACATTTAATGAAATTTTCTTTTTTGCTGTGTTTTGACTCTTGTCCGATTCATACATTCATTTGTCCATTCACCTGTTCATGGGAAGTTAGAAACAGACACATCTCCCTCTCTTTAATACTACAAAAAAGTTCTACTGGCCAGCAATCTCCAAAAAGATTCCCTCAGGCCCCTTCCTGCAAGAGCTCAAGTGAGTGAAGCTACAGCTAGGGTACCGATACACAGGTTGAACATCCCTAATCTGAAAATCCAAAACGATCCGAAATATGAAACTTTTTGAGCATCAATATGACACTCAAAAGATATGCTCAGTGGAGCATTTCAGATTTCAGATTTTAGGATTTAGGATGCTCAACTGGTATAATGTAAATATTCCAAAATCTGAAAAACATCCAAAACACAAAAAAACACTTCTGGTCCCAAGAAGGACCTTATTTTGGATAAGAATTTCTTATTCTGGAAAAGGAATACACAGCCTGTACAATTTAAAAACCAGCTCTCCCATCTGCACTCTGCTTTACCACATAAGCCTTGTTTTCATAACTGACCCAAAGAAGATCATTCAAAAATAAGAAAATTTACTGACAAGTTATGGCAGAAAAAGAATTTGATATCACTCAAATCAACAAATTCATTCAATTTCCTTATAAGTGCCTGGCAAATTCAGAAATATTTAGGAACATCTGCCCTGATCATCCTCAAAGAAGTAATACAACCTTGGGTACTGTCACAGCAGCCCAAGCACAGGCAGAAGGCACAGGTGTACACCCCACGTCTAAAGCATGGTGGCTACAGAACAATCTAGGGTCTCATGGTTTTTCCTGTATCATCCCTATACATACTTTACCTCAGAGAGAGGAGTTCTGGGCAAGAAAACAATTGTCATACTACAGTTGGACTAGCAGGTAAAAGGTAGTCTCCTGGAAAGACATTATGGGCCTGGCACAGTGGCTCATATCTGTAGTCCCAGCACTTTGGGAGGACAAGGCAGGCAGATCACTTGAAGTCAGGAGTTCAAGATCAGCCTGGCCAACATGGTGAAACCCTGTCTCTACTAAAAATACAAAAATTAGCTGGGTGTGGTGGCGCACACCTGTAATCCCAGCTACTCAGGAGGCTGAGGCAAGAGTATCACTTGAGCTCAGGGGGCAGAGGTTGCAGTGAGCTGAGATCACACCACTGCACTCCAGCCTGGGCAACAGAGTGAGACTCTGTCTCAAGAAAAAGAAAAAAAGGAAGACATTATGCAAAGAGCTCAGGCCTTTAGTTTCTATTATGTATTTATTTCTGCCACTAATGGTTCCACAAAGGATTTGGTTCCCATCAACCATGGAGAAAATATCATAGGTACCAAAATACTGACTTTGTTATACAATCTGCAGGCTTCTCACAGTGAAAGGTCTTTCTCTGCATGCATGTATTATGTGTGGGAGTGTATAAATTGTAATCAGCATGATTCTGCCTGCCTACTTAATAATTATGTTTTGGCTCATGCATACAAAGTTTAAGAAGAGAATGGGAAGAGAAGGGGTTTTGCTGTGCCCCCACCCAAATCTCATCTTGAATTGTAGCTCCCACAATTCCCACATGTCATGGGAGGCACCAGATGGGAGGTAATTGAATCATGGAGGGTGGGTCTTTCCTCTGCTGTTCTCATGACAGTGAATAAGTCTCACGTGATCTGATGGTTTTATAAAGGGGAGTTTCCCTGAACAAGTTCTCTTCCCTTGTAGACCGCCATATGAAACGTGCCTTTTACCTTCTGCCATGACTGGAAGGCCTCCCCAGCCACATGGAATTAACCTCTTTCTTTTGTAAATTGTACAGTCTTGGGTATGTCTTTATCAACAGCATGAAAATGGACTAATACAGAAGATCAGTGGAAAGCAATAACCAGAGTACAGCAAGCTTAACTGTAGAGCATATTCAAAAACTAATCTACATCCAACTTTGTGATAATCTTCACGGTTTATACTGAAGAATTAGTGTTGTAGGGACTAAATTCACTTATGAGTTACTAAACCAAAAAATGCTATAAGGCAGCAGTCCCCAACCTTTTCAGTGCCAGGGACTGGTTTTGTGGAAGACAATTTTTCCACAGACCAGAGGTAGGGGGGTGTTACAGGATGAAATTGCTCCATCTCAGACCAGCAAGCATTAGATTCTCATAAGTAGCATGCAACCTAAATCTCTCACATGCACAGTTCACAATAGAGTTCATGCTCCTATGAGAATCTAATGCCCCTGCTGATCTGACAGGAAGCGGAGCTCAGGCAGTAATGCTCGCTTGCCCACTGCTCACCTCCTGCTGTGTGGTCCAGTTCCTAATAGGCCACAGATCAGTACCAGTCCATGGCCCAGGTGTTGGAGACCCCTGGGGTAATAGGACTTAATAAATTAAGTCATTCAAAACTGTGCAATTAAAATATAAATTAATGTGTTACTTCTTTAAAGCATTTTATTCTATGTTATTATCCTAAGACACATAAGAAAAGAACAAAAAGTATGGGGGAAAAAGATCATCATGAGATCACAGGACTCAAAACCTGTGTACTCTCTAATCATTCCATATTGCATACTGGTTAAAAGTACGGGTGTGAGGCCAGGCGCGGTGTCTCATGCTTGCAATCCCAGAATTTTGGGAGGATCAGGAGGGCGGATCACCTGAGGTCAAGAGTTCGAGACTAGCCTGGCCAATGTGGCGAAACCCTATCTCTACTAAAAATACAAAAATTAGCCAGGCATAGTGGCATGTGCCTGTAGTCCCAGCTACTTGGGAAGGCTAAGGTAGGAGAATAACTTGAATCCAGAGGCAAAGGTTGCAGTGAGCCAAGACTGCGCCACTGCACTCCAGCCTGGGCAACAGAGCAAGCAAGACTCCATCTCAAAAAAAAAAAAAAAAAAAAAAGGGTGT